TAAGTTAAAAATTATTCAGACACTTCTAGATTGCCAAGTAAAATTATCGCTTCCCCTGTGGAAATACAACAAATTTCCATGAAGTTTTCAAATATATGTTTTAATGTAAGCTTGAAGCCTGTGGCTATACGAAGTTGCCTATTCAAACTTTGGTTCAAACATTTTAATGGTGCGATTTAACTTTGGCTAGAAAAATTGCTAGTGGCAGAATACTAACGTAACACAGCTGGACGAGAGGAAGTCAAGATGCGAGCATCGAAGGCAAAAGATTTTGCTCTAAAACATTCAAAACCATGCAGGTTAAAATAGATGGACTTCTCCGTATGTCCCGTGCAGTGAAAATAAAGCCATGAAATGTCATGGTCTTATTACGGCCATTGCCATAAGCGGACTTTGTTTACATTCTAATCTCCTTTCTTTGCATGTTAGCTATTCATCAATAATAATCTATAAGTCTCCCGTTTTAATTTTAATACTTAGCATAACAGATTTAAACTTAGTATATAGAAAAATCACAAGGATTGCAAAAAACTTTTTCAAATTCATTAAACTCGTACATAAAAATATGCAAATGGTGACTATAACACAATTGTACACATGACAAAACCTGGAAGGTCACTGGAAGTTTCAATAGTTTATGCAAATTATGACTAAAAACACTTTTCTGAGCTTGCGGACGCTGATAATTGCTTCCAAGTTCAGTGTAATTTTATTTAACAATATTGTTGCGTGCGTACGGGTTCGTTATGAAATGAATGCACAAGTCCGATGAAAAATTAACAAAAATTTATTATTATCACAACGAAATGCTTAAATTTTCTCATATTATCATGCACTATTACAATATCTCACAGTAGTTATCTTTTAGCTACTCAAATATCCAATAGAACGTAATTCAAAACAGCTAAAGTAAGCTAATCCGCGAATTCGCTACAATCAAAGAGAGCAGTTTTCTAAACAACAACAAACTAAGCAACTACTACAAACTGAGATGTTTTCCTCCTTTTATAAGATTTTAAAATCATGCGCTAGAATTTTCTGGTACTTTCTCGAAATCAAAAAGAGATATTTATTTATTTAATGTTAAATGTACGTGCTCTTGTATTTTTAATTCTCCGCCTTAGCTTTCTTTAATATTCGTCACGCGCTGCACTGCGCGGGAAATAAAACCATTTAATTTATAATTGAACTAACATTAGCTTTTTAAATACCAAATTCGTAACACTGTCCCCTTCCCAAGGACTGCACGTCTCGGGCAGTACAATCCCTGGACAGGACGCTAAACTTACAACTGTGGCATAAATGCATTAATAAGCTTTACATTACAATAATAAACAATATGAACAATAAATACAATAAATAAAACAAATCAAATACTAAATGCAAATCAAATACTAAATGCAAATCAAATACTAAATACAAATCAAATCAAATACACGTTTAAAACAAAAAGGACCGTGGTCTTATACTATTTACAATTATTTACATTACGTACTATGGCCATAATAATGAGTTAACCTGTCGTAATGAACGACTTTAGGTTTAGAGTTCGAAGACTTACAGATCCGAACCACGACGTCATTCAGCCTGTTTAGGACTGTGTACGGACCATCCCAAGGTGACTGTAATTTCGGACAGAGTCCCTTCCGTTGAATCGGGTTCCACAACACACCTTGTCTCCTTTGTTGGATCTATGTCCAGTAGCTCTCGTGTTGTATCTGGTCTTCACTTTCTCCGTCGCCAAGTTCATTCGCTTTCGTACGGAACGATGCATCACTTCAAAACGGGCCTGGACATCTTGGATGTGTTTCTTAGGCGATGAAGGCGCATTCGTATGGCGATCAAACAGGCGGTCACAAGGCAGACGAAGGTCTCGACCGAAGAGCATCTGAGCTGGAGAAGAGCTGGTAGTCTTGCGTTTCTTTTCCTGGCCCAACCTAGTATGATTTCGGCAGCTTCCTGAGCTGGGTCTTTCGGACAAGGCGTCGACATTTCCATGCGAGGATCCCTTTTGAGGATGGATAGTCATGCCATCAGATGCTGAAAGCAGTTTGTTGTTTTTCAAGTCTAAGGAAAAATTGTATTTCCTTAAAAAGTCCAATCCGAGTATGCATGGATCTGTGATATCCGCCACATAAGCCGTGTGATGGTAGGCGGCACTTCCAAACGTGATGCTTTACGTTTAACTTCCCAGTTATGTCGATCTTATCACCAGACGCAGTCTGAAGGGTAACACACAGGATGGCGTCCAAATAAGTTTATCTTTAAACTGTTCAGCTAAATCTTTCCTAATGATGGTAACATTAGCTCCTGTGTCAATGATCATATTGCAAGGAACTCCATCGATATTCCCATTAATGGACATTCCGTTACTGTTGCCACTCACTGTATAAATTTTAAGCGCTTTAGAACAAGGTTTTTCATTATCTAGCAACCTCCGTTCCTCGATATGGTCACTAATTTGTTTACTGCGTCGTTGCTGGGAAATGGTCTTATTTTTCGTACCTCGGGGTGTTCTGCAGTTTCTTCGTATGTGGCCTTCAACTCCGCAGTTCCAGCACTTTAGAATTAGTTTCTTTTCACTTCTGTTCCGTCTCAAGCCACTGACTTGTCTGGTAAAATCATCTGTTTTATATATTATATTCCACCCTGGCTTTATATTCCGTACCCTGGGGTGTTCTGCAATTCCGTCTTAGGTGACCTTCACTACCACATCTCCAACACCTTAGAGCCACTTTCTTCTCGCTCCTACTCCGTATCAAAGCGTCGACTTGTCTGGCTAAATCATCTAAACGAGCCATCAGTTGATCCACTGGCTCATGGACTCGCACAGCTCTAACTGGGTAGCGATCTCTACTAGTTGCTTGCTGGGCTGCCTCGAACTTCATGGCGTACAACAGAGCGCTTTTTATGTCCTTTACATCTGCCATTCGAAGAGCTTTCTGTATTTCAGGATCCCGGATGCCGTCGATGAAATATTGCAGCGACAGGATTTCTCTTGTTTCTGTCGGGAACTCCGAAAAGGCGTCATGTGACAGCCTTTCAACATCCGTGGCGAGCTCCTGGAGTGTTTCGGTAGGCTTCTGTTGGCGAGATTTTAATTGGAGCCTGCTGTAGTCTTTTAAACACTTCTCCCCAAAGCGCAGCTCCAAGGCAGCGGACAGAGCTTCGAAATCTAACCTTTTGTTATCGGGAAGAGTCTGAAGGATATCCGCTGCGTCTGCTCTTAAAGAAGCGGCGAGATGACAGGCCTTAGTTTGGGAATCCCATCCATTCGCATCTGAAACGATAGAAAATTGTGTTTTATATACTTGCCAGGATGTCTTCCCATCATACGTGGATAGCTTCAGAGACGGACGAGCAGGCATCGGTAAGAATTTAAAACCCTCAGAATTGCTTCCTTCTGTCGCTACGCTCTTCTTTAAAGTGTCAACTTCTTTGGCAACAGCAGCAGAAACCCTTTCCTCAATTTGTTGTTGGACGGCAGAAACTCTTTGTTCAATTTGTTGCTCTACCGCAGAAACTCTTTCTTGAATTTCTCCAACTTTGTCTTCAACTGTATCTATTCTTCCTTCCATAGCTTCGAACTTGTTTTCTATTATGCAAGTAATTTCTCTCTTCAATTCCTCTTGTCCAGCTTTCATTTCTTCCTTAATGGATTCCTGGCCCAATTTCATCTGTTCCTGTGTCGCTTTCATTTCTTCCTTAAGGGATTTCTGGCCAAATTTCATTTCTTCTTTAACGGATTCCTGGCCCAATTTCATTTCTTCCTTAACGGAGTTGACGGTCCCTTCCATCTTTTCTTGGAAAGCAGTAAATGCAGTCATCATTTGCCTGAATTGTTCTTCCATCGCTCTTGTAATTGGCATTCAAAACCCCACTCCTGACACCAAAAATTGGTGCGTGCGTACGGGTTCGTTATGAGATGAATGCACAAGTCCGATGAAAAATGAAAAAAAATTTATTATTATCACAACGAAAATGCTTAAATGTTCTCATATTATCATGCAGTATTACAATATCTCACAGTAGTTATCTTTTAGCTACTCAAATATCCAATAGAACGTAATTCAAAACAGCTAAAGAAAGCTAATCCGCGAATTCGCTACAATCAACAAGAGCAGTTTTCTAAACAACAACAAACTAAGCAACTATTACAAACTGAGATGTTTTCCTCCTTTTATAAGATTTTAAAATCACGCGCTAGAATGTTCTGGTACTTTCTCGAAATCAAAAAGAGATATTTATTTATTTAATGTTAAATGCACGTGCTCTTTGTATTTTTAATTCTTCGGCTTTGCTTTCTTAATATTCGTCACGCGCTGCACTGCTCGGGAAATAAAAGCATTTAATTTATAATTGAACTAACATTAGCTTTTTCAATACCAAATTCGTAACACTATGTTTCGTAGTCTTACCCGTACGCTGTATGGCGGCAATCATAAGACTTACGTCACGTTGCTAGCATTTCCTTGGCTTCAATTCTGTGACGTCATGCTTACTCCATTTTTTCTGACCTCCATGTTCGAAGCCGTTGCCTTAAATAGCCCTAACTTATTTGCATCAACGTAAGGCCTAACTAAAAGGAGAAGTACAGATCCAAATCATAAAAATGTGTTAATTAATATTAAAAGATACTACTTTACAGTGTTATGGTTTAACAAACACGGTAAAAATGCCATGTGACTGGAAATAATTCATCAATTTTTTTCCTCATTTCTTTCGTTTCTATTTTGTTCTTTCGAGATACTGAAAGCTAAATATTTTCCCTGATTTTAAGCTAGATATTTTACTTATAAAAATGGATACTTATTTTGAATAAAGAATGATATCGCTTTTGTTCTGCTACACAATTTCTTCTCCCCCAGTCTTCGAGCTGCGGCTCGTCTCTAAATTACGTACTTCTACATAATTCTAGACTAGTACACGGAACTACTCAAAAATAACATCTTTTTATGCTTTTCGTTGTTTCTGTTTGTAAATTTTCTATTATTTCTCAGGTATTACAGCTTACAAAGTATGCTTCCAGTACTCACCGATTTCAGTTTGCTGATGGTGAAAAGGAAAATGACTGGCTTGGTATGACAGAAAAGAGTGGGATAGTTTTTATTAAAAATTCGAGCTTACTGGCTAATGCCACAGCCGAAAAAAGAAAAGTCATATGGTGGTCAAAAAATGACACTCACGAAAGGTCTGGAAATCTTCTTCTTCTCCTTGAAATAGAAAACAAAGGTAAGTAAAGAGTATGATTATTTTATTGATATAGATAATAATCAATAGTAATAAGTTATTTTTTTCTTTCCATTATCTTCTTTAATAATAATTTAAACTACAGGAAAATTTGTTTTTATTTGATATAATTGAGTTTCCTTACGAGTAAGAGTAAAACACGATTTATAGCTGACCTGGGAAAACAAACCCGCAATTTAATACATAACACGATGAAAACTACTTATAAGGACCTGCACGTAATTTTAGATCTTACTAACATCAAAAGGTTTTTCTATTATTATTATTATATAATTATTCTATTATTTTTCTATTATTACTTCTATTAAAAGGTATTTCTGAATTATTTGTAAAGGTCTGTGTAAATTAAACGGATGTGAAACAAATTACACACCTAATTCGAAAGTTAATTTTTTACCATGTACTTCCTGCTGTACGTAAAATTAGCTTCGAACATCAAAAAAGAATTTAGTCTACTATAAAATAACGCTGTTATCCAGGATGGGTAAGAGGTTCCCTCAGGAGTACTTACGTATTAGCGCAATCACCATAGTAAAATCTCCGCATTTTCAGAAAACACTACTTTCAGGCAACTGTGCATATAACAATTCTTCAGTTTTAGAAAAAGGAACATTGCCATTTTCATATGCATTCATATTGTTGTATTCCAAGTCCCAACGGTTTTTATAGTTATCAAATATATATGTATTCTTAAATTAAAATTTAAAACATGCGCTTCTGGTGTATTATTGCACTGGAAGAAATTCTAATATAATTTTTCACAAGAAAACAAACAGTATTTTGCCGCAAAATTGCTAAAAAGTTTAATTGTTTCGATATGCGTAGAGTAATCCTTACAAAATTTATGTGAGAGCAAAAGAAACAAAAATCGCTTTGGTGACCTATTTGGGGGGGGGGGGTTAATATGTAATTTTGTGGAATTGGAATCATCATTTTTTCGAAATGTTTTCTCAAAATATTCCCAAATGCGCCAAGGTGGTTGCTCTAATACCTGCGTATCTCCTTGGGAAATTTAAATTGCTGCATGCTGAGTAAAAAGAATTTCTAAAATAGGTTATTATCTAGAATTTTTCTTCGAATATGGATTTCAGTTGTTTGCACTAGACTAATACTAATAATCTTTTATACCTTATCGCAGGGACCGGATTAAGGGGACTCTTGCCAAACCGTTCTATGGGTCCTCTGAAACTTCTTTTTTTATTTTCATGACAGAAAAATAGAGTTATTAGGATTTATATTAGGGCTCGAGGACTCCGCCAAAAATAAGTTCTAGGCCTAAGGGCTTGTAAATTTAAGCATTAATGAGTTCCTGTTTATCGCTAGCATTAGCAAAAAAGACTTTCTAGTCATTATCTAGGTTGTTTATGATTGATTGACTTATTTTATGGCTTTGCCTATAGATATTACTTGTTCAGATTCTTAAATACAAATCTCAAAACAATTTGACTCATAGGAACAGATAATTATCTCATAAACTATGAACATACGTTCAATTGAAAACATTTTTAACTCAAGCATTATTGGTTTTGTAGAAATTATACAACATAAGCACCCATATTTTTCAGATATTTAGAATATAATACTTTCCCATTTAATTTATCTCCCTCCGTCAAGACAGATTCACATAACGTAAAATTCAAATTTCTCTAAATATTATCTATGCAATATGCAAGAAATTGATTAAAAAACGGATTCTAAGATTATTGTAGGTCCTATTAGATTTGCGAACAAAAATAGGTAAACGTTTATTCCTTAGAAAATAGTGATGCCTCTACTGGTAAGACGCAATTAGCTCTATGTTTGCGATTAATTTTCCTTACCCAATGGATGATAACATAATCTGTCCACCTCCGCAGTTATCTTAGATGAGCTAAATTAAGGCAGGCATGTGACTGAAACTACTGGTTTGGGAATTACCTAGTAATAGAGTAATTAATTCTGTAGCTTCTTAAATATCCTTTGTGTTTACAGCGACAGAAGCAGTTAATTCTCGAAAGCTTTATAAAGGTCGTGACGAGAGAATTGAATTTGAAACTGTCCACAGCTTCTGACTTCTGTTTCATATCTGGAACGTTGTGACATGTATTATATCTAATTCCTCTGCTTAAATTTTTCAATCATTACTGCTGTTCTGAGTATGATATTCACCCATACTTCTTTCAGTACACTTCAAGTTGTATGAATGTAAAGCAACTAAGTTTTTATAAAACTAGGAAACAGTCCTTAATTAAATGTAAAATTAGTTTTTTAATATGATTAATTATTAATTTAATTTTTGTTATTAAATATTCGTTTTCTGTTCAGTAACATAGAAACAAAAATACTGAATAACAGTAATGTAAGCATTTTTGTATGAAAATCTACTGACTAAAGCTACTATGTTATGTTAAAAAATATACTAGCAATATAAATCTGATATTTAAAACTATCTCCAGGAAAAATATTTCCCAATATACAGGATTACTACATTACAAACGAATAAAAAGCTCTCATAGGTTTTTTTTTTTTTTTTTTTTTTTTTTTTTTTTACATAACCATTTCTGCTAATTATTACATGTATTATTCGAACATTGTTCTCTTCTGACAGTTTAATCCCCCTTTATTGTATCTTCGAGATCATTTATTTTATAAATTCAATACCATATCTCGAAATATAGTTAAACTTGCTTATAATATTTCTCAGATTTTTAAATTCTAGTATATTTATGTAATAAACAAATCATATGTCAATACTTCTTTTTATCTAATGGCGGGCATTTGTCTATTAGACAATGGCCCCTCCTGAAGCCGAAATGATATCCATTTTATTGTGGAGGCACCATTGCCTAAATAGGGCAGGCACCAAAAGAGGTACCGTTGACTCTTATTGAAGGAATGGATAGTTACAACCCCATGCTTTCTCCGGGATTCGAACCCGTGCCCTTCGGTATCGCAGTCGTCTTACCTAGTCTCTATAACGTCTGGACAGCCATATGTCAAAACTGAAAACAAAAGCAGTTATGAAAAAAATGTGTGAAAATTAATGCTAGGAGAAAACTCATCCAAAAACACTATCAGAAACTCACAAAATAAAACAAAACATAAAAATAATTAATAACAGTAATCTAAAGCTATAAAAATATAAAGAATATTATGGCTTTCCAGAAGTTCACATAGCTGCAATGGAAATCATTTTAGCGTGAATATTTTTCATCATGAGTAAGTCCTGTTCTCTACACTAGGCTCACCCGTGTTTAAATCATACATTGTCTTCGGTAATTGTCACTTAGGATAACGAACTTGGATTAGCAATATTTTATTTATGCCCATAATTAACATATGAATTAGTGTCATAAATTTAAAAATAATTTAACCCGTCAGTAATGTAGCTTAACAGAAGTATAATGCCACCCAACTTGTATAGTGGTTAGCGTCGCTGACTGCCATGCCGAAGGGTCTGGGTTCGAATATCGGCATGAATGTTTGCAAATGTATAGTGTCCTTGCGGCATGAGGACACTTTAAATATACGGAAAGCACAAAGTCCTCTCGATAGGTTGTCGTAAGGAAAGAGGAATGGAAACCCTCATACCCGTCACCCTCGGGATCTCTCCATCATCCGGGGCGGAACTGCGCTAAATCGCACTTTCACCTGTAAGATGCTCAAAGCTGTAAAGTGGCTGTGCTCAGGCATCAACTTGAGCTCGTTGTCGCGAGGAATTTCGTGGGCTTAGACTGCCTATAGGTCAGACAACTAAACATTAATAACAGCTACAACAAAACCATAATGCTGATAACGTAGTGCCTTCATAGATCTAGGCGATCGAGATCCGTGGAGTTTTGATTATTTTTCTCACATTCATGTTGCAGATCCCTCAGAATATCCTAGATCACATTCCTTCTAGACTGGATAAAATATATTTACAATTATTAACGTTATTCGATATATTTAACATTAGCTAATGCTAACATTAAAGCAAATTGATTAAAATATAATTTATCTAATTGCAAATCATTTCGTTCGTTCGAAATAAAAGCTTTTAAATCTTATTTGAATGGTTTAATTCCAGAATAAGGCTGCTATATTCGAATGCATTTAAACAAATGTCAATGACAGGATTTATTAAACTCAGACATAAGATGGAATTATAGATAATGCCCTTATAACTTTAATTGTAATAATGTAAACTAGACTAAAATATATAATTAAAGAATTTAGCTATGCTGTATCAACTTTAGCATGTTAGTATCAAAAAATTTTTCCCTTATACATTATTTTGCATTGTTCTGGTTTATTACTTACTATGCATCCAGAAAGGAAAAAATAATTTTTCGCTTACTCTTTTCATTCCACCATTTTCATTTTATAAATCAAAGGCAATCAAACTGTCATTTTACACCTCGTCTTTTATAGCTGTCAGCTCAATAATATTAATTAAAAATGAAATTAAATGAATACTGCATTCTAACTTCTGTCCTTTTTAACAGTAACTTCTTAATTAACTATCAAAATAGTAATTTATTAGTGCACTTATCTGACGGTTTATCATTTCTCAAGTTCTTTCTAACAATTTCAGTACAAAACAAGGCAGAAATAATCCTCTTTTCAAAATATTCCAGGAAAACCCATGTTAGTCATATGAAACATACAATACTTGAATTTCGGTGTTACAGGGCGTTAGAGTACCCTACACAGAAGAACACTGACATCGGCATTAGGCATTTTGCCGCTCAGTGCGATCTTTGTAGGCCCTAAATTCTACTTTGGTTTTTTGACGAAAATTTTATCCCTCTTTGTCGCAACTGCCTTATTTTCTAAATTGTGTATCTTTTGATTCGGTGTGGTATACAATTCCATTTGGTTCACCTCCATGGTGGGATGCCATTTCAGGGGAGCGCTCATCACTCACTCACTCACTCCTCTATCCCCTTATCTTTCATGGGTACATGAGTTTAACACCACATGAATTAACGGCTACCTGAATTAACATTTCTTAAATATGTGTTGGGTGTGTTGCATTGTCCATAAGGTCGATTATGATCGGCCAAGAAGATTGAAGCACAGTCGTACATTACACTACATTACATGAGTTAAACATTTACAGATATTTCAAGCTATCCTACTATCCCGTTTCAGATACGTAAGTCTAAATCGATAGCCAGTCGATATAGGCATCCAGAAATATATTCTCACGGTGCTCTCAGCAATGTTAAAGGCGCACAGTTTCTGCTGTGTATGACTAATTATTTACATTTCAAATGCAGTTGTCGCAAAAATATCTTCTACGAATATTTTCAAGAAAAGAGAAGATAAATAACCAAATAGTATGAACTGAAAATTTTTTCCTACTGTATTTAACACGTTAAACAACGTTGGAAGAAGACCTATTCCTGCCCGTGTATAAGCAAAGTACAATACAAACTTCTAAAGCCTCATTAGACAATACTGAATATGCTACAACTATAAGAATCAAAAATCAGATCTATTCAAGTTCTTTTACCAGTATACATTTAAAAATAAAGCTAAATCATTCTGTTACTTTTTTCAGCTTTTTTGTTACTACATACCTACACATGCACATTTAAAAGAAAAGAAAGAAACGAAGTCAAGCGAGTTTTTCGCCCCATCTTAGCTTGTAAGTAAAATAGCTCCAGTTAATGAAGTTTAAAGGAAACATTTTCATTAATTCGTCAACCACGGAGTAGAACATACTGTGAAATAAAAAAACAGTCTCCCAACTTGAAGGAAAACAGAAACAAAAATTTAAATAAAACTTAAATGCCTTCATTATATAAATTCAAGGCAAAACGCATGACTTCAGCGCTTCATATAACTTCAAGGCAGAGCTTAGGCTCAGTACCTCCAAGTCCTGCAAGTAATTACGGCAAAATAAATTCAGACACTGGAAGAAATAGTAGCGAGAAGGTCAACGATAACTAACAAAACTCTTTCGAACTCAAGAACTGTGCACTTAAATACATAACACTTTTACGTTCTCATGGGGAACGATGAAAGTAGGTTGGTTAGTTTATTAGAATACGGCAAAGCATACGAGATCTAGTTACCTAAGCGGAGGAAGGCGTTCATGGAGACTTTCTAAAGGAAAGTGGCTCAGGTTCACATCACACTTGTGGATAACCTCGAATAATAACCATGCAACCAGCCGTTGGTCTGGTATCGAACCTGGGGCAAATGCTTAGTATTCAGCGGTTTTAACCAATCGGCTGTCTATACGTCTGTGGCCAGACCAAAGAAGAAGTGACAATAAAAGCAAAATTTTAGTATAACATAAAACATAAAAACAGTGCATTCATTCATGTAAAAAAACATTTGCTTGTAGTTACATGGAAATTATAATAAAGGTACTAATAATAATTTTCAGTTAAGACGTAATATATATTTCGCGTGCAATATTAAAAAAGTGGGCAATATACGGCTTCCTTTACGGCCCATTAAATTATACGCATTTTACATTTCTCATTAAATTAATTAAGTTCTGACTTCGCAGCATGACAAAAATACATAAAATCTCAAAAATACAGAAAAAGCTAACGCACCAAATACAATTAAAAACATTTTAAAAAAACAAATACAGTTGAAAACATTTTTAAAAAACATTTTTACCATTAAATTTAAAGTTTCTACACCAAAACAAGCAATACAGCCAACGGGTAGAAAGATTAAATTTTCGGTGCACACAAACTGAAAATTCACTTCCTGCCCTATTGGGCAGAAAGACACTGAAGTTGTTGCACAAACTAACTTAGTTCCCTATGCTCAAAGAACCTTGCCCTATGATACTAAGATTTTCAAACGTAAACATATAGCCGTCACGTTAGGGCTACGCATTTTAAATTTTTGAGAAATATAAAACATTTGCATCCAGATGAACTAAAGGCATAAAACCCTTAAACATAAAAACAACACAATTCAATCTCTTTAAAATCAAAAACTGCACAATTTACCAACATATAAGAATAAAATACAAAGCTCACTGGGCCGGCTGAAAAGATGGATATATGTACTATAAACATATTTTTCTTGCGGCCAATTACAACAAAAAGGGACGTGCCCAACTGGATGTTATAGCAACAAAATTTCAGTCTTCTGCGGCTAATCGTTTTCGAGTTATGCGAGATACAAACGTACGTACGTAAAATATGTACGTAGAGACTTCACACACACAAAAATATACCTTTTGAATCAATTCCATTTTACAATCCATTTGGGAGAAAGAGTCCTTTATTCTGTCCGTATCTACAGATGAGGCTTGTTCAAAGTAAATCATTCAGAGGCGATTGGAGAGCTGTCAAAATGGATATTTTCAATGAAATATACCTTAAATATTTTCGAGAATACCGAATTATTGCTTCCTTTACTTCGTACAAGGAAGTGAAAGAACAACATTTAGATAGCGTGTTTATAAGTGAAGTTATGCTGGAAAGTCGTGATTCATGGGAAAGGGGCTGATTGTTAATTTTCATTAAACTTTACTGCTTCCGGTTAGAAACTATTTCAAATTTTTCATAATAAGCCAAATGAAAAGAATATTCTACAGCAAATTTTAATGATTTTTGACAATTTTATATTTAAAGACCGGTAATTCTTCTTAAAAAATGTATTAAAAAGTGTCTATTAAATAGTAATCAAACCATTAATAATACAGAATACTTCTCCGTAAGATTAATTTGAAGATACCTTCCAGTAAAATGAATTAAATTTAGAAAGAAAACAATGCTTATCTAACTGTAATTAATCGTAGCATAAAAAGAGAAAAATCATTCTTCATGGTCAGGCTTTAATAAATTTAACTTTAGTTTTTATTATTATCAGCGATATTCGAAGCAAATTTTATTAATAGTTTTAGATTCAAAAAAAATTTCTGTAAATTATAAAAGTAAAAAACAAAAAAAAAAAAAAAAAAAAAAAAAAAAGAACATCGATATCGACAAAATGCATTTTCTTATTCTTTTCCCCCGAATTAAATTGCATTTTCTGCACTGTAAATTCTTAAGTTTATGATAGATATACCACATGACGTTCTTTTCTTTCTTCCTTAGATTTTCTTCCGAAAGCTTGCAGTAAGTAAAATGATTTTATTTTTATTCTTTAATATGTGAATGTTTCATCCTTTATTTCCTTCTCAAAATTTGTATGATAAATTGTATAAAAAAATAATTACTTAAAAAAGGGTATTTTTAAAAACGTCGAATAAAAGGGTCATTTGATTCGTATTAATATATAATTTAATAATTTTTTTCCCATTTGTGAATAATCATTGTGATCTTCAATCAAAAATCTGATTTCATTTCGACAAATATACCGCTTCTAAAAAATTTATGGGAAAACAATTTTACGGGTAATTCATTTTGCTTTGTTTGAAAATATTATTGGTTCGCTATACTAGAAACTTTTTTATATGCAATGTATGTATTAATTTACAGTTCATTGTAGATGAAAAGAGCTAAAATTAAAATTTCATGCGAATAATAGTTTCCTTATTAAAAAATAATGAATAGGCTAATTAATAGAAAGAATTTCGAAATGTTATTTTAGTTTTCCTGGATTTTCAACATATTAAAATTTTTAGTTTTTAATACCGGTTATGTTTGTCTTCAACCTCAATATTTATTAAACTAAATATTGAATCATAAAAATATAACTTATAAATTACATTAATTTCATTTTTATGCTTCATAAATATTTTCTGGAAGAAACTATAATGTTCGGTTTGAAATCGAAAACGGTTCTTTTTCGATTTTACTAAAAACTAAAGCAGATTTAAACATAAATAAATGTGTAGGGTTTATATTTATTTTAACTAACATTTATTTTAAGTTTAAACTATCTTTCCTGTCAATCCTTACTTTCCCCTGGAACTGCCAGTGCCAGAATATGTAAATTTGAGTAGAACGCGCAAGCATTCAAATTATCAGCGGAAGTAGTATGATTTAAATAGAAGGAAACAAGTTCGGTGAGAGAGAGTTATTCTTACTTAGCGAGCGCGGAGGTAGTTATAGAGATTTGAAAAACCCCGCGTTGCGGCCTATGTGCTTGGCGGGAAGTAGTTGCAATTGTTCCAGTGAGCTTCAAGTCTGCTGAATTAGCAGCCGTATTGTAAAACGCGGTGAGTTAGTTATTTGAGAGAGCCTCGTAGTTAGAATATTGTCTTTAATTTCTTTTCAGGTTTTTATTTTTATTTTGACTGCCGAGTTGGCACCGTTTGTAAGCGTCAAGAGAACGCAATTGTAAATTAGTACGTTGAATAAAAAGGGACTTAAACCCTTTATAAGACTCTGTGGTTTATACAAGCTTTCACAGTCACCTCTTGGTTGCGTGCTAGTTAGAGGCGCGCAACGTTATATTGGCGCCCGAACACTTATCGAACTGAAATGGCCGAAAACTGGATGGAAGCCGCTGGACAACACCAAGAAATGACAACGCAGTTAGAAGGATTTGGATACCTGGTCCAGACTTTGAGAGCATCAATCAAGCCAAACGTCTATTTCGACGGAAAAATTCGGTGTCCGTATTTTTAGAAGGTATAGAAAACCACTTTCAGCTCTATCCTGTGCCCGAAAGACAAAAAGTTGCTATCGCCACATCAGCACTAAGAGGACAGGCCGCGCTATGGTGGAAAAATATAGGCAAATTTCTTCTAGGTGAATTTGGAAGCCCGACGTATACTTTTGAAAATTTCAAAAAATCGTTAGTAAAGGCCTTCCCCATAGTGAAAGATCGCGCACGGCTGGAAGCCGAGCTATATAGTTTCTATCAACGGGATACAGCACAATTGACGGACTTTATTTTACGAAAAATCAAGCTAACGGATATGTTGTATGGGAAAAAACCCGATGCGGAGATTATTGAAATAATATTACCAAGATTGTTACCCGCTGTCCAAGACTACTTTGAAATTAGAAACCCAACCACATTGCAGGAACTTTTCGAATTGGCGGTGAAGTTTCAAAATCGCAGAATCGCGGAAAGAGCGAGAGGGGAAACATATTCTCAAAGTACCAGAAGGAAGGAGGAAACAGAAATGGAAATCGCTCATATGGGGGAAAGAACTATCAAGCTAACGCATCGAAACTTGAAGGGCAAGGCCCAAAAAGAAAATTTGAAAATAAGCATCCGCGTACCCAGAAGACACAGATTGAAAGGAAAGCTTTAAACGACTAGAGGGGCCTGTGAAAGGGAGGGTCCAGACCCCGGAAGTTTTAGAAAAACCCTCAAATAGACATCTAAATACAGTCATCGTAAAAAACTCACAGCTACCAATTATACAAGTCCTGGTTGGCGATGTACCAGTAGAAGCCCTCATCGATACAGGGGCAGAAGGCAATTTCATGAGTGAAAAGTTCTTCAAAAAGAATTTTTATAGGATACGACTCTTTAAAACCAGAAATACGGAAATTATAGCGGCGCAAGGAAAAACATCATGTCACTGCATCGGGAAAGTAGCATTAAACGTACAGGTAAAAGAGGAAAATCTCAAAGTATTAATTTTTGTGGTGAAACACCTCCAACACTCTCTTATTTTAGGTATGGACTTTTTAAGGGCCGCGAGGGCCAAATTAAATTTTCAAGATAGTTCCGTGGTGCTGGAGATGGACCAGAGGGTGGTGGAACCGGTGGAGACACCTGAATTGGACCTTAGCCATTTGAATGACCAGGAAAGTAAAGCAATACAGCAAGTGGTGAGTAATTTTTCTCATTTGTTTTCAGAAAAGCCGGGAAACTGTCAGATTGTAACTCACAAGATTCAATTAAATGCCGAAAAACCTTGTAGGACTAAACCTTACCGCTATGACAAACAAAAAGACGTAATCATCGAAGAACATATTCAGGAGATGTTAAAGAATAAAATAATAACGCCCATAAATAGTGAATACGCGGGTCCAGTCGTACTATGTAGGAAAAAGAACGAGTTTCCTCCTCCTCCTTCGGATAAAAGGGCTTGGAGGTTTGCTATCGATTATAGAAAACTAAATAGCATAACTAAATTCCCAGTTTACCCTTTGCCGGTTATAGACGAGATCATTAGACAGATCAAATCGACGAGATATATGTCTACTTTGGACTTAACGTCTGGCTACTATCAAATAGCTATGAGACCCGAAGATATACATAAAACCGCGTTTATAACAAAATCGGGCACTTATGCATTTTTACGCATGCCTTTTGGGTTGTGTGGGGCCCCGTCATTTTCCAGAGAGCTATGGACATTGTTCTAAAGCCTGTCCTAGGAAAATCAACTTTAATTTATCTAGATGATATAATTATAACGAGTAGTACGTTGGAACAACACATTAGTGATCTCGAACAAGTTTTTAAATTATTAAAAGAGGCCGGTCTTACAATTAACGCCTCAAAATGCAAGTTCGCAACTAAAGAACTTAAATATCTCGGTTATAAAATTTCGCAAAAGGGTATAGAAACGCAAGATTCAAAAATAAAAGCTATTAAGAATTTCCCACCCACCGCCCAACACCGCCAAGAAACTTTCGTCTTTCCTTGGACTATGTTCTTACTATCGATCTTTCATAAAAGATTTCGCTAATATTGTTGAACCACTCTTAGTAATGAAAAGAAAAAGAGTAAATTTACGTGGACAGCGGAAGCTAACACACGGCTTTTGAAAGATTAAAAGAAGCGCTTATTAATGCCCCTGTTTTAAAATTCCCTGAGGGGGACGAAAACCTGGAAATTGCGGCAGATGCATCAGACTATGCGGTGGGTGCGGTTCTTATGCAAAATAACCATCCGCTGGCATTTTTTAGTAAAACATTGAATCAAACACAAAGGAATTATACAGCTACAGAAAGAGAAACATTAGCCGTATTAATGGCTGTACACAAATTTCGAGTTTATTTCGGCAAATCGCCAGTAACTGTCTTTTTCGGATCATGCGGCTGTTGGTAGACTTTACTCGGGAAAAAACCTAACGCCCAGGTTAATAAGATGGGCTTTAAAACTCCAAGAATATAATATCACAATAAATATAAACCGGGTAAGGAAAACAATGTAGCTGACGCACTTTCTCGTATAAAACTGGACGAGGAAGGTAATGAACTTAAATGCGCTGTGTTGACTTCAAAAATTTTAGATTCTAGAGATACGGTTATTACTGAACTGAAAGCTGATCCTGAATTTGGAAATATCTATGCTTATTTGAAAGACCCCGAAGGCTTTGAGCATACAGATATCGATGCGATAAGAAATAGAGCAAAAACTATGAAATAATAGATAATTTATTATTCTATACGAAAACAACGAAACGAAAATCTTGAGTATAAGCCAGTCATCCCAGCCTCGCTTCGATTAAGCATTTTGAGGGAGTTGCACGAAAAAAAAACAGCGGGCCACCTCGGGGTCAGAAAGACTTTAAAAAGGGTACGCGAGGCGGTATATTTCCCCTGCAATTATACAAAATAGTAACGGCGTATGTCAGGTCCTGCAATCAATGTCAGTTAATAAATGATATTAATTACAGCCCGGCCGGGTACTTAAATAGCATTCGCGCTACATTTCCGAATGAAATTTTAGGCATAGATCTCCTTGGTCCCTTCCCCCAGAGCGAGTTAAATAAAAATCGTTTTCTTTTAGTAATAGTAGATCATTTTTCAAAATGGATAGAAATTGTTCCACTTAAACGCGCGTCAGCCAAAACAGTCGCAGATGCATTCTTACACAGATACATTTTAAAATACGGTGCACCGATAAAAGTCATTAGCGATAACGGAAAACAATTCATTAGTCAAATATTTGAAAACATATGCAATGGACTTGATATACGCCATATCAAAATGGTTCCGTATAGACCACAGGCTAACATAGCAGAAAGAGTTAATAAAAACATTGTAAAAATAATTCGCAGTTACGTTAGCACACATCACAAGCGCTGGGATGGCTACATAAATGAATTAGCTTATGCTTTAAGAACGGCACATCATGATACTACGGGAAAAACTCCAGCAGAATTATTTTTAGGCAGAAAGTTAATTACGCCTTTAGATAAATTATTCTTTGTGCAACAAAGAGAGCAGGAATTCAAACAAACGGACGTGCAAAAACTAATTGATCAGGCGCTTAAAACCTCGGATACGGCAAGAAATAGGCAGAAAATTTATTACGATAAAAAACGCCGTGAAGCAGATTTTAAAGTTGGTGATAAAGTATTGAAACGGAAATTTTCTTTATCAAGTGCCCCAGACAATTTTATGGCAAAGCTAGCTCCAAAGTTTGAAGGCCCCTATGTAATTCAGGAAATCAAAGGAGTAGTTTTATATCTTAAAAACGAGAGAGGGGAAATCTGTAAAGCAAGTCCCGACCAGGTGAAAAATCCCAATGATTTTGAAATCCTTAAAAGTTTCTTGCAGGACTCAAGTCTAAACGAAATAGAAGGGCCAGAGACTGCAACAACTATTCCGCCACCCAAGAAACGGAGAACTGAAGAGAGACCTAGCACTTCTACAACCCGGACGTCGGTATCAAAAAGAAAAAATGATTATCAAACTCCGGCGTTTAAGAAAAACAAAAGTACAGATGAACCGGGTAAAGAAACCGTGGTAAAAAGAAAACACACCACCTACAAAGGATGGCAGGAGGAATTACACATCAAGAAGAACGCGCACACGGCCACAGAGTCAGGTGCCAGCAAGGCCGCCGTTCCGGAAACTGAAACGCCAACAGGAAGCACAGAAGTACGAGGAACAGAAGAAATTCAAGGACTCCAGACCGGAGGACGTCAAGACCAGCCGTCCAGCCGTCCCAGGCAGAAACGCAAAAGCCAACAACCAGACGATTACTCCGTCAAGAGGCCAGCATGTAGAGGACGCAAAAGAAAGATCAACGGGGACGACACGCGGAGATCAACAAGGAGAAGATTGACATCCATGACACCTCTAACTTGGGATCAATTTTGTCAAAAACGGATGACGGAGTTTCAAGCATCGAAAACTCAAAGATAAGTTAAAACCTTCTATAAATATTTTTCTCTTTTGTTCCGAAATGTTATGCATAAGTACGAAGTTCTCGTATGTTTTGACGAAAGTCAATATGTCTCGGTTGAGACTTAGTTTTGTTTTACTTTATTTAGCTAAGGCAAAAGTATTATTTTCTTTAAGTGTAAAAGCTAAAAACAAGCATTTTCTGTTGGTCGAAAGACTAATTCTGTTATGTTAAAGCCAAAATTTGGCCGGAGATAAAAATAACTTCGTATTCTTGTATGTACTAATAAGAATTTTAGTTTCAGTGCCGCCAGCTTGGCGAAGGATGAGTAAAGTAAAAATTTATTTTCTCTTATTCATTTTATGGTAAATTGTAAAAAGCATATGTATTAAACTTTTGTAAATGTATGTAAATACTTGCATGTTATGTAAAAGTAGAATTTAGTCTAGAAGCATAAAATTGTAGATGCTAAAAGTGAATGCTTAAAAGCAATGAAGTCAAAATTTAAGTATTAAACTGTAAAGTCATGCTTTAGAGCGAAAGCCTGCATGTTTAAAAGATGAATGAGGGGGAAGTTAGAATGAATGTGTTTTGTAGGGTTCTCCACCTACATTTGAATTTTTAAGAATATTAAAGTAGCTCATTGAGTTGTAGAATGTCGAGTAAGGTGTGTCTATTTGGTTGTTGAATTCTAACAAATCATGGTGGTTAGGGGAAGTGTTGTAAGACTAAAACGCGAATATTCCCGTTTGACACCACACACACGGTGGAGAGCCAGGGTAAAGTTAAATTAATGCTTGAAAAATTGAATGAATGTGAAGTAAGCAATAACTAAGAAAACGAAAACGTTAAAAAACAAAAAAAAATTTATTGTGTCAAGAAAGTGTAAAAGTGTAAATTATAATGTATGTAGAAAGATACTGATACTTATTCCTTCCAGATGGTGGAAGGAAAGACCAAGATTGATTGATGAAGTCCAGGAAAAGTTGCTGTAAGAAGAAACCTTTGTAAAGAGTAACAGAATTTTAATTGTTACATAAGATTATTTTTGTGTAAACGAGGCTTTCGCCAGTTAGTTCAGAATTAGATAAACTTACAACAGGTCGTTTGTAGGACCTGCTTCCTAGTTTTCCAAATTCTGGCAGCGGCAAATGTAGGGTTTATATTTATTTTAACTAACATTTATTTTAAGTTTAAACTATCTTTCCTGTCAATCCTTACTTTCCCCTGGAACTGCCAATGCCAGAATATGTAAATTTGAGTAGAACGCGCAAGCATTCAAATTATCAGCGGAAGTAGTATGATTTAAATAGAAGGAAACAAGTTCGGTGAGAGAGAGTTATTCTTACTTAGCGAGCGCGGAGGTAGTTATAGAGATTTGAAAAACCCCGCGTTGCGGCCTATGTGCTTGGCGGGAAGTAGTTGCAATTGTTCCAGTGAGCTTCAAGTCTGCTGAATTAGCAGCCGTATTGTAAAACGCGGTGAGTTAGTTATTTGAGAGAGCCTCGTAGTTAGAATATTGTCTTTAATTTCTTTTCAGGTTTTTATTTTTATTTTTTGACTGCCGAGTTGGCACCGTTTGTAAGCGTCAAGAGAAGGCAATTGTAAATTAGTACGTTGAATAAAAAGGGACTTAAACCCTTTATAAGACTCTGTGGTTTATACAAGCTTTCACAGTCACTTCTTGGTTGCGTGCTAGTTAGAGGCGCGCAACGTTATAAATGAAAACGCTTTATTTGCTAAAAACAGCTTTTAATTGTTATAATTTTATAAAATATTACACTCTGACATTAATTATCACCTTTAAAAATTTTCGAAACTTCCATTAGATTGCAACTGAATGCAAATAATTATTTAACGTTCTCTGCCGGTATCGTAACTACAGTCATTTTCAGTTTCTACAGAAAGAAGTTAAAAAAAAAATCTCGTGAGAGAATAGTTCTTTTACTTTCTTATATTTACATAATTCTTTATTATTTACTTTTTATTTTGCGGCCTTTATTATTTTATTGTCTGAAAATACGTTAATCTCTAATACCAACATTTGGAAAGTTTTTTTTCTTCTTTGTAATTAACGTCAAAGTTAAGTAACTGTAAATTAACTAAACTTTCCTTTCAAAAAATCCTGATTAAATTAGTTTTCTTACTTTGCAGATAAAGATGCATGGTGTTCTTTGTACGCAAGCCAGAGTGAGTGCGAAAGTAGTTGCGGAAAAGGATCGAAAATAGGTTTTTGTTTATGGCGAACTAGTTCATTGACAAGTATACGCCCAAGCCCAGACTATGCGACATGCTCGCCAGACTTTTCAACCTGTCCAGACGGATACTGCGATGAATTGGAACAACTGGAAAAAACATTATGTCCCCAGGACTGTGTAGGTAAGTCATGAATACCAAGTTTGAAAGTCCTAATCTTCCTTTGACAAAGTTCATTCAATCAGTGAATAAGCTGTAATCCATAGCATTTCTTTTTACACGTGACACAGAAGTTTTTACTTTTTATATGATTATACATAGTGACACAATACTGGTCTATCTGCATTGGTTAATGTGATCAAAAGCTATATATCTACTTTGTTCATTGTAAAACTCCTTAAGCATGGTTTGGTGTAAATGGAAGCAATCTGGCAACCACAAAGTTCAAACGATTGTTGATTTTTCATATTTCCTGCGCCTAAATAACCTTGTAGCCCATTTTCCCGAATGCTTTCTTCACAAAAAATTCTCAAATTTATGTTTCCAATTGAGTTACATAAACTCGTAATGTTTACTGTATATATCGGAGCTGTGATAATTTTAAGGGTGAAGAAAATATATAATAATTCGTAAAATCAGCCTGGGTATGAGCCAACTAGTCTAGAAGCATAACATGACGCATAGTCTGAACGCCCTACTACCATCTATTGAAGAATACAGAATCATATACTTTTATTTAACAGAAGGCAAATTTAGTGTTTTTTTTTCGATCGTTTTAGCTATGATTCCTTGCCCTAACGTAAATAACAAACAATTTATTATTGGTTGTAAACTGGAAAAGTATTTGAACAGGCTGTAAGATAGATAACAATAGTGCCTTCGAAGACCTATATATGTTTAAGTGAGATCATTCCAAATTATTAAAGAACCTAAAAAAGCATTTGAGAAGAAAATAAAATCACCACAAATCCACCATCACCCTTTGTAGTTGGAATTAATGTCGTGTAGCTCTATTATTACTTTTTTTATGCACAACCATTGTCCCTGAAAGTTAAGTAATTGTCTGTTGTTTTGTCCAAATTATGCATATGACAAAACATTTAGATATATTGTGTATAGTAATAGTAGTAGAACCTAATGAGTGTGTGACACATTGAATTGCATAGCAGCTGACTTTAGTTACAAGCATACCCTATTTATGGCACATTGAGATTTGCAGTCACAGGTTATCCAGTACCAAGGGGTTGTTTTTTTATTGTTGTTATTGTTTTATTGTAACATTAAGGTACTTATTTCTGCGTGAACACTAAGTTCATATCTTGCATTCAATTGTTTTAAAAGCTCTTGTACCAATCTTATAAAAAAATCATCTGTTTTATTGACAACTGCAGCTAAAATGGAGAAGGCGTGAGATTTTTCTCTCTCTGTTTCAGGTACTTTACCTATCACACAGACATTTTCATCAGAATTTGGATTACTTACATCAGAAACAGTATCTAGCTTTTGCCTGCTTTTTTCTAAGCATTCCTTGGCCTTCTTATGCTGTTTTTCTGGTACATATTGTTTTGCAGCTCTTTCGTAACACGTTTTTACTGTTCCATTACTCTTCAAGTTCCACGTCATCGCAAATTAAGCGAAACAAATACCATATGTTTTACACATAAGAACATCTGATGTTTATTTTGAGCAAATAATAGAAACAATGTCTTGTAGAGTCCTCTAATATAGGCTTTGTACGGAACTGTCATGGCGGTTCTACTGAAATTGAGGATACCTCAACTTTTTTAATCTGCAGAGATGATTACTGGGAGATACAAGATAACTGAATATTCTTTATAACTGTATTCCCGACCAACGGTGATAATGGTGTAGAATGCAATTTAAGATATTATAGATATATTCTTGTATTTCATAAGTTGATCCTGTAGAAGATGAAGGTAACAAAATGTCCTCTTGAGTGTGATTAACTGTGATCCCATAAACAGAGTCCCTCGTTAATTATCTAACCGCTCTTTTTAATGCGAGCGGCTTCAATACAACAAATTTTGTTGAGTGGTTTTGGTATAGGGAAAAAAAACTTTTATCTTAATGAGATTAGTATTCGATGAGATCCACTTAATATCTGTTACCGAAATGTGATGAAGTATTCGGTTTTACAAAACTTTCTTTTCCCCTCTTTTTCATGTTCTTTTTAAAAGTTTTGCATAAATCCAAACCAATTTTATTTAGTTTGGGGTTCTACTTTTTAAAGTCTATGTAATTATTTGATCATCCTATTTCCTCCAGCTTGCCCAATCAGCAGTTGAGTAGAATATAAAAGTCCGGCGTACACAAATCTTTTCGTACTTTGTCGAACATCTGACAATGCTTTTAACAGCCTTTCACACTCCATATATCATACCATTCAATTATTTGCTAATCTTGAGATGATTAGATTTCCTTGGAAATCTTTACTTCCATGCAAAATGAAAGTGACTCTATAATTGAAGATGTAAAGTTTTTTTCAATAATTTTGTGTCGTCATTTATTGAATCACTTTCATTTTACATCAATATACAATTATACGAGTGTTTCTGATCTATGATAAAGAAATTTGCATAACATCTTTTCTTTATTTTACAATGCACTGCAGTGCTTGCTTAAAATCTTGGAGCTAAATTTACCTCAAGTTTAGCTCAAAATGAAAAGAAATTAATCTGAAAACGGAAGAAGCTGTTCTGAACGGTCCTAACCGACGTGAAACTATGAGAAAATGATGTCGTTGTTGCTTACACTCACTTGTCTGACAGTAACATCAGCCCAAGCCCACGAAATTCCTCGTGGCAAGAAGAGCGCTAGTTTTTTACGTGTGTTGTTGGCAACAGGCTTGAGCACCATACAGGTGACAGCGCGATTTAGCTCAGTTCCGCTCCCCCCCCAATTTTGATGGCGAACACCTCGGGGGGGGGCACGGGTGCTAGAATCTCCTCCGTCTTCCCTTCTACCGAACCACACACGAGAGGACTTTCGGCTTTCCGCATATTTAAAGTGCACCGACACTATACATTTACAAACAACCATGGCTTGCTTCCTCAAGATTCGAACCCGGGTCCTTCGGCACGGCAATCAGCGACGCTAACCGCTATACCGGTTGGACGGCAAATGATGTCGTAAACACAATTTGGGTGACACAATGGTTTAGAAAGCTTTGGCACGGAAGTAGGAGGGAAAGGCTTGCGTATTAAGGATTACAAATACCTTAATAGGCAGTTAGGTAAAATTCGAAAATCTCTTATGATGTAGGGAAAAAAATCAGGTAAACTGCGGAATTATAGCATGTTTATGGTTTTCAAACTTCAACAGTAACATATATATTTTTTACAGTTTGTGAATGATGAAATTTGTTTCTCCCCATCCTGAAAAATAACTTTCAGTTTGGGGTTTTACATATAATTTGCGTGCTTAAATATTTTTCCCTTTCTGATTATTAATTTGAAATCAAATATCAACTGTTTTCATTAATCTAACTTGTAAAATTATTTCTTTATAAAGCTTTTATTTTATGCCTCCTTAGTGAGGCATTTGAATGTTGCTGCATAAATTTCAGTTAGCTTTAAGTACATTAACGACATGAATAATAATTTGATTTTAAATATAAGCCATTTAGCAATATGAATAAAGAAAATTAAAAAATAATTATCTGATAAAAAAAGGAAAAATAAATATTACTTTTATATCATGATAACTAATCATTTGATGTGATAGAAAAGTCTGTTTGAAAAAAATTAAAAAGAAAAGTTTAATTTCGAAGTCGCACGAAACTCGAATAGCTTTTTATCACGATAAATGATGCAGTTTCGAAATTTTTCTTCCTGTAAGATAAAACTGAAACTATGATTTAAATTCGCTTCATGCGCTTCTTTCTTTTAAAGGACATGATGAAAGTATATGACTAGCATCTTAGTCATTAAATAAAAAATTGTGATAGCGTTTAATGCTTTTATTTGTAAAAGTTTTATTTCAGTTCGCGGAATATTCGCTAGTAGTTGCGCCGTTTTAGATTTTATATTTTTTGTCTGAAAAAATAAACTTTACAAATACCTTATTTTAACTGCTTTGGAAAGCATATGCATTACTTATATATGCATGTTTATAGAATAGAAAAAAAATTAGCATAAAATTATTATTTTGGAGATCCAGTATAAGAGATTATTTTTCTCTCACTGCCTCAATTAGAATGCGTTGTAAATTCATTGCCAACATTTGCAAAGATAATTGAATACGCAACGTTAAAAATTCTTGCTCTAAATTTACAGCAAATGGCATTTCTTGATTCCATTAGGAATTCATTCGATTAAGAATGAAATGTTATTAAATAATTCAATTATAAATTAAGTATCTTTCCTCAGTTTTCTCATAAAATCTCTGAGTTGGACAAGCCTGTCTGTACGTCACAAACTCACAAATGCTAAGACACTAAAGGAAAAAAAATTTTTTTTTAATTAACTGCCTAGTCCTTGAGCACGAACGCAAATCTTTCAAGTAGAATTAAATACTTAGGTTTTTATTTCGCATAATATTTCTGAAATAAAATCTCTTCTAAAAGGCTAACCACAATTAGCCTCAGTAGGAAGACATTCAATTAAACCAGTAAACCGCCAGTTATTCAGATTACTTGCCATTTAAAGCTCACGGATTTTTAGAGGGACACTGCCAATACAAAATGTGGTTTTGGCTGCAAAAATAATGAAAAGTCATTTAAAGAAGTAATACGACTTGAGCGTACTTTCGGGGCGTTTCTAAGTTGTAAACAAGAATACAAAATTTGACAAAATATTCTTGATTTGTGGCATAAGAAGTTCATAGATTTGGACATTTCGTAGTTATCTCCCTATTCTTACACTATTCTTTCAGTAACTCCATTCATAAATAGCTCGAAGTAACACTAAAACATTATTAAAATGGGCGCAATATCGGTATCTAGCTCATTATATCTTCCTCTTATTTTGAGCATGTACTACTTCATCGGGTTCCTTCTACATTATCTTCCTTTATGAAAATCCTATCTTTATAAAAATTCTAATAATACCTGTCATTCTATTGATGAGTGTCATTAGAATTTTACAGCTGATTGTATAATAGATCAGTTTCGATTAAGACGTTTTAAACGATTTAGAATCGAATCCAATCAATCGATGCGGCTCGTGACATAGTAATCGAATCTCAGTATCCTGGAATCTAATCTTTCCACATCTGTATTCACTTACAGGAACTCTTTTCTTATGTGTCATGTTTAATGTTTTTGACCTTTAGAAAACCAGTCTCCGCTAACTTGTATGCTTAAAATATCGAAACGCGCGAAATGCCTTTTGGGATTCACAACAATTTCCTCCCCTTCCCGTCCATGAACGCACAAAGAAGTGTGAAGATTCCAAATGACACGAGCAACCTAAAGATAAGAAATCACGAATAAATCCTTTTAGGACCAGCCTGTCTGTAAAAGTTACAAATTTGGGGAAACTGCTCCTGCTACTGCATACCTTAGTGGGAAGGAAGAAAACAGCGTTGCGATCTCGGCCATTTCGGGCGCTTGTCGTCGTTTGAATGAAAGGCCATCTCGGGCGTTCTGAGCTTTAAAGGGTTAGTTGGAAACTTTACATGTAGATAGTATCACTGCTTCTTACACGGTCTAGGATAGAAAGACAACGAAATCAAGCTTCCGAAATACCCACAGTAAAGCAATCGATGAAGAGTGTAGGGGATCTCACCAGACAAGCATCTTCTAAATAAATGCTTCCTCTTTTTACAGTATTTCAAACGCTCTCGCAACAGCAAAAATTAAAAATGTCCTCTCCTTGCCAATTCCGTCATCACTTCTTTTTCAAAAGTAAAAATCAAGGAAAAGAAGGAAAATTTCAGTACACTTCACTTTTCCTTGTTTTATTTTCTCTAGAACATGTTTTCTAATCAGAAACTCAAGCGGCATCTTTTTTGTTTGCTTAATCAAATGTAGCAAAGATACCTTTCTAAAGATTTTTCGGAGGAAAAAATTGTTTACATTCTTACACATAAGAAATCCTACAATCGCTTGCTAGGACTATGTGAAGGTTGAATAATTTGTTTCTTTTATTCATTTGACCGCTGATCGGCATGCCACATCTTTTACAAATGTTTTCTTGTATGTGAAGAAATGCCTCCTGTTTTTTGCAGGCTTAGCGAAGTTAAGTTTTAAAGGACATGCCATGTGTTTTCATAAAGGGAATACCTAAGGGGACGGTGGACTTCAAAATAGCTGAAAATCAACCAAAATATTGAATTTGATTTTTTACTCTCGTTATATTCCATATACGTAACTACATCGTATGCAAAAATACGCTGCTAATTACTATTATGTCCGCGAGTAATATTTCATTAATTGACGTTGTATCCAAGCCGCATGAAAGAAACAGACTCAGAATAACACGATAACAAGGAAGTAGTTTTGTTTTAAACTTCTGATTCTTATAAAATCGATGATTCCAGCCAAAGCTGTATGTTTAAAGTCACTTATAAAAGGTCTTGCTCAACAATTGAGCTGAAAATTAGTAAATTTTCACACTTTTTTACAATTTAAATTCATAGGCCTGCCTATGAACGTAATGAACACTTTAAAGATATGCCTGTGAACCCACTGTTTGTCGCAAATGCTCTGCACACCGTGCTCTAATTGCTGTTCTGACGTTTTACGAAAATACGTATGTATCTTCTTGTTTGCCTTTACTGATGTCCCACTTCTAAAATCCTTATGTTTCATGGCACACTTCTTAATTTCCTATGTAATTTCTTCTAGCGTTTCTACTTAAAGCGTTCATTACGTTATTTCCATAATGCATAACTGATAGCATCATTCACATTCCGGCAACAAAGAATCATTAAGTATCGAGCACCATGTACTTAACATTAGAGACGTTTAAGATGATGGAATGCCATATATAAAGAATATCATAAAGCCTTTGTTTTTATTGTTAGAAAAATTGTTTTCGGATGATTTGGACTTCCGAAATAAATTAAGATTCACCCGGTAAATGCTTTTTTATTGTTGTGATAATATCGAGGCTCTCAGTAACGTTTGAACAGCGAACTCTTTGTCAGAGTAGGACACAGATTACCACCAATAAAGCTGGAAATACAGAAGTGGATTTCAGAATTATCGAAAAATCCTATTCTTGTTCAAATGGGCTGCCAAGCAGTCATGTAGCTTCCAGTCGATTTGCAGCTATCGTACTGTCTCGAGGGCAATCTGGTAATCCCAGATTTAAAAATTCCGTTATCTAAGCACTACTTAATTTAAACAATCCGAGCTCTACTGCATTTGAAAAATTTTTAATTTATTTCAATAATCTTTTACATATATTTGAAATCCCTGTTTTTTATCAGCACTTATCTAAATGATTTATGCATTTCTCTTGCTAGAAAGCTTCGATGGCATCACAGTTTCCAAGACTAGTACTGGTCTTAAGAAAGCCGTAGGACCATGTTCTTGTTCTACTCCAGAAAGATGCACCTGTACGAGTTTTTACCCACCAGCCGAGATGAGACGACCTAAGAACAGAACTCCACCTCGGATATCGACACCTCCATCAATCATCGAAATCGAAAAAGTGACTTTAATCGATACTGGAAAGTTTGTTGTCCACACCGAAGATGAAACATCCACTTCAGTCGAACTGGCCCCTTTTGCAGGTGAAATCCAGCATTTTTAATTTTAATGATGATGAATTCAAAGAGTTAAAGATTATAAACCACAGTAATGGTGGCTTTTCTCAGAGTAATGGCGTTTCTCCATACTTTAAACGCCAAAGTTTCGTAACTAGGTTCTTTTATAAGCTATTTATAAACAGCATTAAAAAATATTCCTCTTTGTTCATGTACTTTTGAAATAGTGTTCTGCTTTTATGTTTAACAATGATTTAAATTGTAGATTGGTTTTATTACATCGATTTCTTACATTGATTTTATGATATCGATTTCTAGATTTATAATATATATTTAACGGTATTAGATGTGTTTTAAATCATTAAGGGAGAACGTATTGATTCAAAATTATGCTCAAAGTGTGTGTTCTGCGTTATATTATGATTCGTATAATAATTCTGAGAATCTTGAATAATGTATTCTAGCCGCTCCTGTTCAGTACAAAGTACAATTGTTCTTATCTTGGAATTTGGAAAACATTTTCTGTTTTAAAGATATAGTAACGATATTAGTTTCAAGGGTGATCTACGCATATCAAAAGTTTTAATTTACAAAAAAAAAATATCATTACTCTTAATTGCTTCTTTAATCCCTATTTATCATTATTTACAGCATAATTTACTTAAACATATTTTTATTTAAGTATTTTTAACTCATTAAATTAAAGTGCTTGAAAAAGTGATTGAACATTTTAGCATAAACATCGAAGAGCTCATTTTTGTTAGTAAGCTTCTTTTTGTTACACTAATTTAAGCTATACACAGAAATTCAAATTTCATATTTACGGCTATTCATGGTAACCGCTGAATGTTTCCGATTCGTAAATAAATTGCGAAAGAGTTCAAAACATTGTGAAAGGTTTCTCATTAAAAATTGAAAGCATTCAGTCGTTTATCAAAGCGTTCAAGGTCCTCTATGAACTGAAATGCTAATTTGAAGAAAGCAAGCCAGAGGGTCTGACGGCCTACTTCCAAAAGAAAACGAAAGAAAAGAATGTTCTCATCATCTTCTATTTGTGATTTCCTTTAGATGATGGTATTTGATCAGATAGATAAGATTAAAAGTGCACTTGAATTGAATCTTATGAAAGAAAGGGACAAGGTTTCCAAACATGTTTAAATGAGGAGCACATATTTTAATAAATACCGGCATATTCATAATATATATTCGTGACAGGCTATTTTGTTAGTTATAGATGGATTTGGTTATAAAAGAATTATTATTATTGTTGTTGTAAACTGCTAAGCTTTACACTATTATGTTTCAAAATTACATCAGTACCAATATTATTTTTGATGCTAATGAAATTGTGAAATACTAATGAAATACTGTGTAAGTCAGGATAATTAGAAAAAAGGCAGCAGTGAATAGAAAGATTAATTTATAACATATAAAATTTACAATACTCACGACGAAAGAACTGGAACTTATCTTAATACGTAATAGCTGAACAAGAAGATGCGGTTCAATATGTAAAGAAATCTTAGTTCTAGGTTTTATGTCTGACATTTCTCCCTGCTAATTACCATCTTTCTTAATACTGTTGCCAAATGCCCAGTTGCGGTGAGATAGCTTCCCCGCAAAGCGGGATTAGGGTTGACATATTTGGTGAGAAATCACTCATGTGGCGATAAAACTAGCGATATGGCGTAGACGAAGCGAGAACATTCTAGAATGCATTCTTAGCGGTTTTCTCGGGAATATTCTCGAAGTTAGGTTAAAGCTATATATATCCTGCATCTACGCTGAGATTAGTAGTGCCCGAAGTTCAGAGACTAGTAGTGTCTCGAGTTCAGAGATTAGCTTGAGAGCGATCGACCGAGTTGAGACCTGTACTTTAGTGCTTTGCCGCAAAGTTGTCTTTACCGTTATAGCCTGAAGGCCATGTTGCTAGTTGTTTGAGCGTGTTTCTCGTAGTTTTTCGACAAATGTATACGGGTACTTGAAACTGTCCGGTGTGATAGTGCTTACTCCCGAATAAATTGTGTTTTAATTCTTTATCAAGTGTTATCATCAATTACTTCAAATCCACGAACCCGTAGAATGCAACAACATATTTTATTGTAATTAAAAAAGTATTGTATTTTAATATGTTAACATCATTATGTATTTACACTATTACACTTTCCTTATTTTATACGAAAGGTGTTTTGAAAATTTAGTCAGTTTGTTATTTGCTAGAATTGATTATGATTTCGTTTCTTGTTATAAATAATTAGTAATTAATTAAATTTCAATTAAGTATTGTTTTGGCGATGAATGTGAAGTAGGTGAGGTATAATATAGTTTGTTTCCTATAGAATTTCCTAAAAGGTATAAAAAATGATTTCATCCAAGGTGCATTTCATGAAAGGGATTCTGAAACGTTTTTCCTACAGGTTTACTGACGAATGGTACATGTGGAGCAGGATGCATCGCATTGGTTTCCATAGCTCCCTGTGGTTTAGTTCTGATCATTCTTATCCTCATAGTGACCAGGAAAATGAGAAGTAATCAGATGAGCAAGCACAAATTTGTTGGCAGTCACATTTCTCTTTCGGCGGTACCTTCGGATTACGTAGATGAGCGATCCAATTCTGCGCAAGACTCGAGAAATACTCCAAGTGAATCATCTGGTTCCGCTAAAGCATTTGTAAGTGTTTTGAAATGTCAGATTATGCTTATAAGTCTCTTTATATTTATAATAATAAAATTACGTGAAAAAATTACATTGGCGTAAATTCATAAATAGATTTTCCCCCTTATTTTTTGTTTTGTTACGTTGCATTCGCAAATTCTGTATTTGCGCATGAGACTTATTTTAAAGATTTTTAAATACTTAATATTTGCAAAATTATTTCTTATATAATTCAAAATTGAATATATGCTACTTATAATTTAAATGACACAGTACAAATGACTTCCCTAGAACCAATTCCCTATTTTTATTTAGCACGCTGTAGACAGTTAATAATATTACTTTTCATCGTACGTCTTCTGTTTTGATTCATCTTCGGTCTAAATTTGTTGCATTAGAATTTAAATACTCGCGATTTTGGGGGGAAAATTCTACATGCGGTGAAATAATAGATTCTTTTTGTTTCATTTTTTTGGCAAATCTAGTAAATGCGTTATACTAAATGTAGTAAAAATTAGCAAGAGAAGATAGTAGTATAACCAAAGGCATTGTCACTCGGAGCGATCTTTTAGTTTGACTGCCATTCTAATACACGCAAACACAAATCTAAAAGATATTTACAACACATAGCGAAGTAAAACTATGTTAATTTATCGTCGATGACACTTTAAAGGTCTACTTCATTGCTTCAGTTGCTTTTTTGCAGACAGATCTCTTCAAATATTCAGTCGTACAGCTTGAAGACTTCTTAAACCATTTTTATTTTGAAAGTTTTCACAGTTAGAATAATTGTCAGAAACATTTACGGTAATGTTACAAATTTTGGAACTATTTTGTAAACTTTAGAATAAACTGCAAAAGTTCAAAAGACGCCTTTACACGTTAACGAAATACCGAGTTTTCTTACGTATTTTTTTAACTATTTTTCTTCCAAAAATCAAAAGAGGAAACCTACATTCCAATAAAGATACATTTTAGTATTATCATTACATTACCTAATAAGATTTCTTAATTTCTGCTTCCCTGTAACTTGAATCTCGTTCTTTTATATTGTTGTCTCTGCTGCTCCTTAGACTTCAAATCATCCATAATAGTTCGCTAATGTGCAGCGCCTCAGCGAAATTGTAGACTGAGTATTAATTCGTGTTTTCTCTGCTATGAAGGATCGATTCCTGTATTTGGGAGGCATTCAGTTAGAAGGGACAGTTCGGAGTGATCTTCACAGGTAGCTTGCGAGGGTTTATTTTTGTTAGTAAGATGGAAACAATCATACGTGAACGAATTCATTTTAAAATTTAAGGAAGCTTATTCCCTAAACGAACACAGAAAGAGGAAAACTAAACGAATGTTTTTATAATTTTCCGAACCTGGCTCTAAAATGCTAGGGAGGAGGGGATACTGTAAAACTCTAAAGTATTTCTCTCTTAGCAAGGAATGTTTGATCACAATTTAGTTGATATTCGTATTTTTCACTCGTAAGTTTCAACGGAAGGAAAATATTGCAAAAGCTTGTGGCTATTGAAACCTCGTAGTGAGTTTCTTTGAATACTCTATCTAGTGTAAAAACCATTTATCTCCTCCATTTAATATCGTATGGCAACTCAGAATCTTGTTATTCTTCACCTACCTTGACTGACGATCCACGAGACTAACCCCTCCAAAATAATTTTTCAGATGGAAAATTTCGCCTCCAAAAGCGTGCCTCCAGGAACAGACTGCCTCTAACGACCTCATTCCCTCCTCTGTCTTCGAGGATCAGAGAAAAACAAACGTGTTCCGAGCAAACTTTTGCTTGAAGACGATTAGGAAAATATGATGAAATGCAGATATTTACTTTCTTTAACTGACGCTGAACTAAGAAAAGTAACTATCTCCGCAAATAAAAGCAATGGAAGTAAAAGAGAAAAGTAAGAAAGATGAAAAACTAACATTGAAAGTAAAAGAGGAAAGTAAGAAAGAAGGATAAAAAGAAAAACTAAGTAAATAATCTTTTTAGAAGAATGAGGAACAGCTTAAAAGCTGTTTTGAAAGCTGTTGTCAAGAGTTGCCGCAACACAAACAGTAAACTAGAATCATAACTGGCATTATTGGCGGTATTTTTTTTAGTTTGGTTTAGTTGATTATGGCGAAGCACACTACAGCACACTAGGACCTAAGGATAATGCCTTCGTGGAGGACTTTCTAAAGGAAACTGGTCTTATGCACGGTACACACGGGAAAGTCACAGAGTTTAAGCTCTTCACATTCATCATGTTACAACAGAGTGTATAGAATGTACTGTAATACGTGTATATCCGTCATAAATATTTAAAGATTTTCTCCAGCTCAAAATTTCCCCAAGATGAATGCAATCCGATTAATACTTTACTGTAATCAGCATTTAAATTTTTAAGTGAAAATAAAATTTTTTAAAGTCTAAAAGAGGAATTATTTTCAGCTTGCTTTTCAACTATAGGGTAAATGTAAGAGCGAGCTGATTTTTATTCGGGAAACACATTTTCTCAGCAAATAAATGACAAAATCTTTTGTTATTTAATTCAAAAAATAATCTTATGTATTCTTAAACAACAAGCAAATTCGTTTGTTCAGTCTCTTGAAACTAGCGAAACTCAAAGAATATAAGTGTTATTCATGTATGCAAGTGATTTGAGACTAATTACATGCTTTATTTTCTAAAATATTGATTCCAGGCATACGTTTTCAATTACAGTGCTTTTTAAAACAAAATAAAGGATTTATGAAAACTTTTTCGGGACTAAGAATGATGGGGGGAAAGCTTGAGAAAAATAGTATATCTGTCTTTTTTTCTTACTTCGGTTTATTATAGTGAATCATGCGAAGTAAATCTGCCCAAGAGAAAGTATGCTTATGTTCTAATAGTCTATTTACACGCGGGGAAAACTACGAAAATGCTCTTGTCCATTCGCCGGGATCTGACTGGGGTCGAATTGCTAACATGAAAGTATTAATATTCAGCCTTTGTGCACGATTTCACATTAAGATAGCATCAGTTAAGAAGATTTGATTTCATTTAAAACCTAGTATTGTATATTAATTTAGTAGTTACTTTTTAGACCAAAGGCTCTTTGTCGCTGAAGGACTATTGTTTTCGTTTTGCAAATTTGCGTTGGTTCACTATAAATGTCCGTTTCACTTCTCAAACTCTTGCCACCAGAAGTTAGAGTCCTGCATTATATTTTAAGAAATTAAATAATGAAAAATCTGCATAAATGTATGTATAATTCTCGTATTGTTATAAAACAACGGTACATAGAGCCATCGAATTTTGAATGACGTAATTCTACTGCGAATTTGGGCAAGCCCAAATTTGAAATTTGGAATTTGTTTTATGATCCATTTTATATTTTGTAAAACTTTAACTAATTTTTGATTAACATACTCAACGATTTAAAAGCAAGCAATGGCAACGCTGTAAAAAAATTATCTTCAACGCGCGAGACTCTGTATCGAAAATTCTAAAGATATGCTCAATTTAAAACTATTTTGCGATATTGCTGTTGAATTGAATTTTATGGTTCAAGTGCGAAGAACGTGATATTTAATAAGTAAAATGTAACACACAAAATGTTTAAAAAACGCCCCTTTGGATGTAATTTAAAATCTGAAACCTTTCAGGTTTTTTATTTTTTTAACCTTTTTTTTTTTTTTTTTTTTTTTTTTTTTTTTTTTTTTTCAGAATTTAATTTTTAAAGAAAATTTATGCAGATCTGGGACCATAAATTGGATTTGAATTTTTTGTAAACTTTTATATCTGCTCTCTATACACGGCCATAAAACGGATCAAAATGAACTTTTCAATTAGCCTTTTTCTACTTTTTGTTTGAATATATGAATAATTAAGAGATTTTTTTATCTTACTGTCTATGATGCAGTGAATTTGGTTTTGATTTTAATTTCTTCGGAACACCTTCATTTACGATTAACTGCAAAAGCAAAAAGATGTGCTATTAGCAAGCTGATTTGTTATTATTTCTTACAGTTTCTGGTTGAAATGTAGTTGTAGAAGTAAGCATTTATATAGATGTATATCCATACAATATTTTAGAATCTTTTATTAAATTTGTTTTCAGCTGGATTCAAAATGGGAATTTCCAAGAAACAGACTGCAATTCTTAACTGTACTTGGAGAAGGAGAGTTCGGCAAGGTAATGAAAGCCCAGGCATGGAATATAGCTGGAATAAAAGGCTACACTACAGTTGCCGTAAAAATGCTGAAAGGTATGACAAACGTTCAAAATAGAAAGGCTAGTTTTATACTTTTCCGTTCGACATTATTCGCAAGTTTTTTTTTTTTTTTTTCTTGTTGATTTTGTTTTTATATTTGTATCCTTGAAAATAAAAAGGAAGCAAAGGAAATTCGTAAGGAATGCTGTATTTTTATATTTCATTGACAGTATCATCAGCCTTTCGCATTTCTGTTTACAATATTGTTTTATTTTCATTATTATACAGAAGCTTGCAGAAGCATTCTGAAAAAGAATTCCAACTACTATACAGTTAAAGAATCAAGAATATTTCCAGAAGTTTTTCGTACATTTTTGGAAAATTTTGGTTATTTAAATTAATTAATTATAAAATGTAATTTGTAATAGCTTTTACACTGAGAAATAAATTGCTGTCTTCTACGGTTAAATCATGTGTAAGATTAATCATTCCTTGTGGTGTACCATTAATGATGATCTTGGGAATAAGACGGTGTAAACGTCTTAGAAATGTGATAAATGTAAATGTCTTTGAATGAGAAATGTTAAAGTTCTCAGCTTAAGAGATACTCTTTTGGATATTCGTTGAAGATCCTCGTGCTAAAATGTCTTAGTTTTCTGTAAGTTTGGAAAATAAAAAGTTTGGTTTTCGATTAAAATTTACTTAAGTTTCATTAAACATTTCGCTATAACGTCTATCTAACCCGATGCGTTTGGCTATAATTCTCAACGTATACTTGAACACAAATTGCTGGCCATTGGAAGGAAAAGTGTATTTGCCAAACAATTTAAAATAAACAATGTCATATAATAGCATATTTGTCTATATTTTTATTTCTTCTCAAATCTCAAACACACAAAACACTTTACTCTCACGAACAAGTACAGACATATGTACACATGCATACACAAACACACATAGTGAATTTTTTATGAGTACAAAGTGTAGAGATACGTATAAAAGAATGTTATAACTTATAGAAATTTTAGATTAGTTTGTTTTATCACGTTTTTTAAGACTTTGATTTTATGAACTTTATGGACTTTACGAACTGAGAATATTATCTTAAGTTATTCTTACTGATTTTCCAGCATATTTAATTTGTTTTCTTCCCTTAATTCTATCTACATGTGTCTTCAAATTTTATGCGATTAAATATCGTGTTTGAACTGGTTTGACATTTTTTATTTGGCATTTGATAATAATAAATTCTATTTAATGACAGATTGACAGCTTTGAGCAATGCAAATTAGACGTGGCCTGTGCCGATACTTTTAAACAATTAAGTGACAGAAAATGAATTTCATTTCTCGTATTATTCTTTTTACTTCCTTGTACGAAGTAAAGGAAATATTCTAATCTCAAAAAATTTCGGGTATCGTATTTCAACCAAAATATCCATTTTGACTTCTCTCGATTCCATTTGAACGAAGTTTTTGCGTGACATCTCTACGTAAGGACAGAATAAAGGACTCTTTTTCCCAAAACAAATTTCGAAACGAATTTAAAATGGATTCAGAAGATATTTTTCCTTGACGTATGTACTTACGCATGTATGTATTCAGCATAACTCAAAAACGAGTAGCCTCCGAACATTGAATTTTGCCAGTGGGACTACTATGATATATAGTTGTGCACCTCCCTTTTTGATTGCAATCGACAGCACCAAAAGTATATAAATATATGTATATATATACACATTCTGATAAGCTAAGTTTTTTATTCTTATATATTTGTAAACTGTGCATTTTGGCTTTAAGAGTGGATAAATTATAGTGTTCTTATGTTCCGGTTAAGGTATTTACGCCTTTTTTCGATTTGCATGCAATATTTGTAGGATTTCGTTTAAGTTCCATTATTGTAGGATTATCAGCAATCTAAAAGCTGTTCGTTTAAGTTCCACTATTGTAGGATTATCAGCAATCTAAAAGTTGTTTAAGTTCCACTAAGCCTAACGACTTCGCCATTTGTTTACTTTTGACACTTAGTAGTAGAGTGAATTGAGTCAGATTATGCACAAATTTCAAGGTCTTTTTGCCGAATGGGGCCAAAAGTTTTGTGCACCGCAAAATCTGACTTTCTGCCTAATTAATTTAAACTCTAATTTTAATTATAATTTTTTAACGGTTTTTGACTATTTGGCGTTTTAGGTTTTCCTGTTTTTTTTAGTGAAAGTATTTTGAGTTTTATGTATTTTTCCCTAGCCGCGAAGTGATTAGTTTGGTCTGTGTGATTATGGCAAAGCCTCGAAGGGCAGGGATGCTTTCGTGGAGGACTTTCTAAGAGAAACTGGCTCGTATAGGCGTTACATATGGGGAAACCATGAAAACGCCCATGCAGCCAGCCCGTTCGTAGGATTCGAACTTCGGACTGAGGTACCAGTGTTCAGCTACTTCACCGCTCCACTATTCGTGAGTGCCCTGAAGTGAGAATGGAATTCATTGAATTAGAAATGTATCGCTAATGAAATTCGGGTAAATAAGTTTAAAGAAATGCAGCAAAAAATGTGCGTAATTTAATAGGTGCGATAATAATTTTGTGCAAATGATATTAAGAAAAGTGTTGTCATTTTTCTCTATTCTGTGCGGGTTAATTGTAAATAATCAATAATCATAAAACGAAACACTTTTAATCATTTGTTTCGTCTTGTTAATTTAATGTTACTATCTCTATTGAATTGGTCTTTAAGATATTTTATTTGTAAATATGAATAATATCCTTTGATAATAAATATTATTTCTAGCACTTATGAGAAAAAAAACAATAATTATTATTATACGAAAACAATTTAAAAGAAAAATTCCCATAAGCCTGTTTTCCATTCATGGCTTGTTGAAGATGTTTAACGTAATTTGCATTTCAGTGAAGCATGATTTTCAGAGTAATGCCAAGTCTTAAGCTTTATAAATTGTCCTAAAAATAGAACGAAAAAAGCCTATCTCCGATTAGGTAAATGAGATTTAGATTCTTTTTAATACTTACAGCGAAAGCACTTCATCATAAATCTCAGAAATACTGAATAGAAAAGAATTCAGCCAGAACTCCAACTTTTATTTCTGTAAAGTATAGGTACCGCTTTTATTCCCAGCTATAAGATTTTTAAATCCTATACTTTGTTTACAGAAAAAAAAACTAAGTTGATGCTTCCAAAGTTTTATTTTAATAAAATGTCATATAAACTAATATTTGTATATAAAACAAATATTTGAGTTCCGTATAAATATTTGTTTATAAAATATCCTAAGTTTTAAACAATTCTGTGAAATATTTTTAAACTCTATAAAGTATTTCTCCCGCCTTCTTGGCATGCCTTCTTGGTGTAGTGGTCTGCAGGCTGGGCGCGTATTCTAGAGGTATTTTCATTACTCCTACTTCCAAAATACCTAATGTCTCTAGAGTGGCGCCCGAACTAAGAGGGTATTGGATGATGATTCTCCACACCCAAGACTTAACGATTGGGTCCCCTAAAACCCCAGTCGTCCTTTAAAAGGGGGAATATATAAGGTATTTCGCCCGCCTTCTTGGCATACCTTCGTGGTGTGGTGGTCTGCACGCTAAGCGTGTATTCCAGAGGTCCGTGGTTCGATTCCCGGCGAAAGGCGTTGCTAATTTATCGTCACTCCTGCTTCCAAAATACCTAATCTCTACAACTTCTTAGGAAATAAACTACGCAACCGATTTCAAATATGTTTTGCATCAGTTGCAAACTCACTAAGTTTCTTTATATATTATATAAAAGCGCAATGTGTCGCTTTTCTGATACAGGAGACAGATATATGGTAAGACATTTTATCTGACAGATGTACCGACATATCACAGTTGACACCGTTGTCACAGCATTCATGTTATTCTTTCGAAGATCCTGGACATTACCAGTAAAAGTAAGCACAAAGGAGGTATTCTTGAAAATCCTTCGCAGAAGAAAGTCACATGAGATAAAATCCTAAAACGGGAGTGGCTACAGTATTATTAACTCAAAGTTTTCTATTCTTGTGCGTTCTATCCAATTTAGTGGCAAATTTTGTTTGAGACATTTCATTAAATAGTTCCCTTTTTATGAATCACATTTTAGCTCAGATATACTTGCAAATGGTAGCTGTTGTAGGAAATCGGACCACTATTTTATTGAAATGGAATCATCCCAGTTTTTATTCAACATTTTGATCATCCAGCTTTTCAGCATGTGTAAGTATATTCTACCAATGAAGCGTAGATATCTGCTATATCAGCAAAGCTGGACACATTCAGCATTTGTGAAGCATGTAAAAAACTTAATGAATTTACCTCTTATATTTTAATGTAACAAAATTTTGGTATCGGTTACATAGCTAGCTTTCTCAAATGTTTCACGGTATTATGAAAACCCTGTGTAAACAGCCGTTTTGGTTAATCATTAAAATTTAAGCTACAGATTCCAGTTTTTTTTAATTTTTTTACACTTTTATTATTTCTATCCAAATAATACTACGTCTATAACTAGCATAAAGTGGTTAATACTAAATCATTCATTTCATAAATTTGAAATATATGCATTTATATTTTAAAATACTTTTCTCATTTTATATAGAAAATGGAGGACCTCTCGAAAAGCAGGATTTGATGACAGAATTTATGCTCTTGAAAGAAATTTCTCATCCAAATGTAGTACGACTTCTTGGAGCTTCAACAGAAAAAAGTAAGTTTCTCGTTTCATTTAATTTATGTAAATTTTAATGGAATTTAGATGAATAACTTAAATTTGGTGTAATGTTGAAGAGATATTAAATTTATAATCCCTGTTGTTCTTAAAATCTCGTCTCTTCTGTCGACTGCGAAAAATTATAAATCAAATAACAGAAAATCGCGACATCTTAAACGCAATAACTAATGCATCGCTTATTCTCTAAACGCTAATGCCTGCCTAATTAAATAACTACATATTTCTTCTTATTTATATTACTCTGAGATTTAATAATTTCCTAAGTATTAAAAATGTAAAATATAATGCTTCAGTTTATTGACAAGAAATTTTTCGTCGTCTTCTTATTTATTGCTGAACCCCGTGCCCGACCCTACAGTCAACGTAACAACCTTCTGAATGCTCAAATGAGACAATATCGCACTTCTAGCCCTTATTAGTAACTTGAGGCATCTCGTTTTATCCCAATTTCGATACAAAACACTAAGGTGGATGAAGTCTATTGCAATTCGGAAGATTCCTTCGCTTATCCTAGCCTTCTAAGAGGAATTTCCGACCGACTTATTTTAACACTTTGCCTGTTGAATATATTTGGGAAGAACGTGCCAAAAGGAGGGAGGAATTTCTTTATCATCAAAATGTTAGAAATAGATTATTTTTAAAAAATTAAACGAAATAACTACTATATTCAATATTTTCACACATATGGGAAATTTCACATAAATGCATTACAGTCATTTTTCATCAAATTACAGCAAAATAAATCAAATAACATAATTTTCAAGATAAATATAATAAAATAATACAATAATATTATTATTTACATCAACTATCATAAATTCCCTCTCTTTCATGTCCCTCAGATGTTTACAGTGGATTTTTAAATGAATGGGTCAAATTTTGTGCAGTTTTTCATTAGAGTGTGTTTCAAGGTCGATTTCTTCATTGTTCACAAAATATAAATATCTTCTTATCATTTGAAATCTGTCGTAGGATATTTTAACTTTGCGAAAGAATGGAGTTTCAAGACTCTTTTTTGACTAAAACATTAAGACGTTGGGCTTCTGAATAATACCCTGTAAAACATGGCTAGTTGGTTGGTTGACTTTTAAGAGCACAAAACCTTGAAGGTTATTATGCGCCAGACGAGTGGTGAAAAAAATCCAAAATGTACAAACACGCTGTATCAGATGAATTATTGAAATGAACCTTTAATGCTGATGAAGGCATAGAGAAATGACTTTGAGAAATGCTCTAGCAACAAGTAGAGCAGTATAAAAGGAAAAAACTTCAAATGATATGGTAAAAAGAGATGTCTTTTAAAAATCTTATGAGGTTGATGTGAGGGTTTCTTCAAATGATATCTGTTAAGTTAACTTTCGTAGAGTTAAAATGATATTCACGTTTCTGACCAAAAAGTAGGACAGCAGGTTAAAATGTAATTGAAATGGGAGCGTTGCAAGTGTCACAAATGGGCTCATTATCTCTGTTCAAGAGATACTGACAACTTTCTCTGTAAAACATGGAGCAAGAGAAATATTTTCATTCCATGGTCATTTGTAAGTACCCACCTTATTGATCGGCCTTTTGGCTTCAGATGTTGTCTTTCAATGCATTGTTGTGCTATATCTATTAGTAACTTCCGTAATCGAATAATCGAAAATTAGTTCAAAATTTTATTTTCCTTGAGTAAAAGTAGAAATGTCAATTTGTTGCACCTACTTGTGGTGGTTGGAATGGGAATCTTGGCGTGTCTGGAGGAAGGTTATTCAGACAAAGCGGTATCCAGGTTCGGCATGAAAGAGTTTCATTTTCTTCGTCACTTTCGGAATAGTCACATTCTTCTGTTGAAATACCGGTATCTGAGCATGAAGAGCCCAACACGTATTTTCATCATCGTCTGATTTCAACACTGCGAACATAATGTGGTTTGAATGAAATTGGGAATGAACTGCAAAATTCCATAATTCGACAAATGGCACGAAACTGCCGAATTTTTTGCGACAACATATCGCCATGTATTCGGAAAATGGTAAATTACATAGTTATGTATCGAGCGAATTGAGTTTGAAATCGGAATTGAAACACCGATTTTGCTCTTGCCCGTACTCAGGTCGAGCATTCCAAACATTCCTTCCATCTCCCAAATTCATTGTAAGTGTAGTAACTTCAATTAATTTCATATATTTAATATACTGTTACGCTCAAACAGTTTCTTAATGGTTTGAATGCAATGGCTTGATAAAATTTATTTTACCAAAAGAATCATTTTATGGTTCTATAACTTTCGAAAAAGCACTCGAATAGCCCTTCTTAGTATGACGGAGCAAAGTTAGTAGTTAACATTTAAACTAGTACAAACTTTAAACATAACGTAATGCAAAGCGCATCTAAAAGGCTAAGTTCGCACTGAGATCTCAATGCTTCGAAATCAGCTCTGAACTAAAAACTGAGAACTGATCGTCGATTGCCCAAGTAGCACAAGACGTTACAGACTGATCCGAGAGGTAGCAAAGCAGTCGTGGTAACTTTTACGACGTCTTTACAACATTGCAAAGACGCAAAATATTGGCCATTGCATCTTGACAATTTGTCGACGTCGCTGAAACGTCATGATATGACCGCTTTTAGACGTGGTCGTTTTGGCATTTTTTTCATAGTTCATCAGCGTTATTTTTAGAATGAAAAGAGACTAAATCTGCCCTTTCAAGAATCTGAAGTCCGCATAAGATTTACTTTGCAGTGTTTCATTACTTTATTTCATCTAAATATATTAATCGAAGGTAGATTCATCTAATGAAATATAAATTTAATATAAATACTATTAATTTATTAAATTTAATTAGTACTAAAAATACGTGCTAAATTATTGTTTAAAATTTTGTTAAAGCAATTAATACTTAAAATATTTTTTATAATTATTATAGCAAAATATTAAAAAATGAAACTAATCTATAAAGTAAGTTATTAAGGTATGCATTTTATATATTTAAAAAAAATTATATTTTCGAAATCCGTACAAATCACACGTTAGCATCTAAAACATTCACAGATATTTACTCATGAAAATTTGTTAAGAATTCATAGATGATAAATTTAAATGTTATTAATTTGTCTGAACAAATGCAAGCCACATATTAGCCAAGTAAGTGCCAAATAATCCTTGTTTTCTGGACAAATGTGAACCGGCGTATCTACCAACATCTATTTACGTATCCTAGTTTAAATTGCGATGAAACCTCTCAAACCTTATTTATTCTGCAGGCGGCCCTTTCTACCTTATCGTGGAGTACGCCGAAATGGGGTCTCTGAGATCATATCTGCGTAAGAGACGACGTCATAACAACTGCTGTCGGTACAATGCGACTTATGGTGTCATATCTCAGGTAGCTGACCCGTCCAGAGACTATTACCAGTTTCCATGCGAGCGATCCCGTTATGAACCTCATCATAGTTACTTCCATAAAGAACAACTGTCATTCGCTTGGCAGATTGCAAAGGGTATGGCTTACTTGGCGGATATGAAGGTATGAATTAATTTCTTCTTGAATGAATCTTATCATTGGTACCTTTAAATGCTGAATAACATATAAAAACCAACGAGTATATGGTAATATTATACAAAAAGCAAAAGTGTTATATCTGTGCTCATAAGAATGTAAAAGTCTTTAGTTTAATGATACGCTTATAATATTTAATATGCTAATTTCCTAGCCATTCTTAATGTCTGTAGGCAAAGTTACATAATAAAAAAGTACAAGTACTTTATTGCATTAAAAGGCATTTCTTTTATGTAAATAAAAACAACGAGTTTTAATTTAATTTATTTTGTCTTATCCAAAATTCCATTCTGATAAATCAAAACAATGGGATTTTAATTTGGTTTTATTTAATTGTGATTCATCTAAAAATATAAGAACGTTTGATAGCTAATGAAAAGTGAAAGATAATAATTCTTGCAAAAAGCATGTTAAAAACTATTCACGATATACAAAGGTAATCATAAATGAGTCTACATGTTTGACACATGATGTTATGGTATTAATTTGGTTACGAGATGCGAGAAAGTGCCATTTCTAAATCAGTTCTTGCACTGAAGAACAATATAGAATAATATTGCTTTTTCAGAGAGCAATTTCAATGTTTATTCAATCAGGTTCACAATCAGTGTTTAGAATATCATTGTTGTCGCATCAATGCTACTGTGAGGTTAAGACAGAAGAACCAATCACGAAAAACACAATTTCTATGTTATAAATACTCTTTAAATTTCTTCTTGGATATGCATCTTGGAAGTACCCTTTCAGGAAGGAGAAAATTGAGTCAATGACTGTTCAGCTATGGTTGTATACCTGCTTTGTCTGAGAAGGAAAACTTTAGGGATAGCATCATCTTCACCTTTCCCATGCAAATAGCACCATACTGATGAATCATTCCAAAATCTCGTGCAGCCGTTCGTCATGAGATGAAGTCAAAAGAGCCTTTTAACGATGAATCGAATTCTTGATCAATGGTCGATGCCGCACAGGGCAGTGATACATTAGAAACAGCGTTGCTCTCTATGAACCACTCGAAAACATGTTTGTTGATTCCAAAGCAGGTCTAAGTCAGTATAGAAGGTAGCATCTTCCTCTTTCGAAAAGCCTTCATGGTGTAACGTTAGCATACTCGGCATGTTTTCGAGAGGTCTATGTTCGAATACCGGCGAGGGCATTGCACGTTTTTCACATATCCTGCTTCAAAATAACCTAATGACTCTACAAGTGCGGCTCGAATAAAACGGTGGAGCACAATAATTGGTGATTGGGTCCCCTGATCACTAGTCGCTCTTTAAAAGGGAGATATCCTTCCTCCCAGCATATCTTCTTGGTATAACGGCATGAGCTTGGTTTTGAGTAAAAAACGAACGAAATAATGGTCATCGTATTCTCTCCGCATACAGTAGATGTTTTTCTCTTAAGAAAATATAAAACATTGAAAAAAGAAAATTTAAAAAGGGAGTGTACACTACGCAAAAAAGGGACAATATCCTGTTCTAATGGGCCGATTGGCGAAATTCAAATTCCGCTTTTTCATGTTTTGAAAGCGTGACTTAGGATAAATATTAGATTTATATACGGCATTGTTATAACATAGGTATTTTGACACAAAATCTGACTTTTTTAAAATGGTCTACAACTCAAATTATGTCTAAATATTAAAGACTGTAAAATTTCTTGTGGAATTTACGGAAAAATTCAACAATTTATCTTGGCGTATTTTTTTCAGTTTGCGCCAAGAATAATTTATTTGGCTAAATTCTTAATTTATAGCAACATAATTTTTCTTTCCTTTTTTGCACTGCAGACGAGCGGAAGAGGTCATTGTTTATACTTTCAAATGATTTTAACAAAGTGCGGAAACCACATTTGGCATTATTGTCGCTAAAAACAAAATGCCAAATTTAAAAACGCTCCAATATGTAAATTCATGTGCATTTAGAAACATTTTGACTAAAAAACTCTTAATTTTTTACAGGTGGGCCTAGAAATACATCTACTTTAAGACGATGTTAAAACTTTTATAGGTTATAATACAAATATTTTTCATAAAATTCATAAAACATATTTAAAAATATAAATTTTAAAAATAAATCATAAAAAATGCGCGAATTATATTTGGAGTAAGCTTACATTTCGAATTCTGGAAGAAGGAATCAAGTAAGTTTAAGAAAAAAGAGATATCAATAAATATATATCGAATTCAATTAACACTGAGGAGCTAAAATTTTGAGAGCTAATTTTTTAAAAGCTACTCGAGCGAGTTTTACAAAACTTGACAGTTTGGCATAATTTGAGTCGTAGAATCGAAATATAGAAAAAAACTGGCACATTTCAGAATAAGTCGATTTTGTGTCAGAATACCTATGTTAGAATAGTGTTATGTATAAATCTGATATATATCCTAAGTCGCGCTTTTGAGACATTAAAAACGCAAGTTGAATTTCATCAATCGGTCCTGTAGAACAGGAGATATAGAACTGTCCCATTTTTATTTTGCGCAATGTACAGTGAAAGCAATAGAAATTTTAAATTGATGACTCTATAGCCTACAAGAGCACCGAAAAGTTTGCACGCACAAATACTACATGACATTTTTTATGGTTGATTAAAACAAAGTGAATATTTTACAAACTATTTTTTTTACTCTACGAGCTGTATAATATGTAACTGCTTACAATGTTGATCTAAATATACCTCCATCAACTTACAGTTGTTGGTCTAAAACGTTATAGCTTATTTTAAAGCACTTTCTAATTGGAAGTACACGACTATAGTTAATGAAATAAAATCTGTAACCAGTTCCATGGAGAAGCCTCAATACTATGGAATATTATATTTGTATGATGATAGAAGTGAGAGAAGAAATCTTTAATTTCATGCTATTCACTTAGAAATGTGATTTTTAGTGGTTGATTTTTTATTATGCTGATGAGCTTGGTCATAGCTAGTAATTCTGTTATCAAGGTGATTTTTCCTCTTGCATATATATATATATATATATATATATAAAGAAACAAAGGCTCAACATCATATATCAGAACAGAGACTTAATTATCCAATTAAGTATTTTCAAAATATTCTTTTCCAGCATTAAGAATAATATAGTCTTATGTCTACAGTGTTTTACTTCTGACTAACGAAAAACTGAAATAGTTTAAATCGCAAAATACACTTATATATTTTTATGCTTTCCAAGAATTTCTAAGCTAGCTCTTATTCGAGGTTTTATTACACCTCGATGGCATGAAACAGTTTTATTGTCAACTCAAATGTTCTTAAGTTGTGAAAAATTGCTATGACGGTTTTTTGAATTCATACTTTCTAAGAAGTGACATAACGTGTTTATTGCGAAGTTCTTCGAAAACTATAAAACAAAACATTTTACGTCATTTCTAGAAGGATACGTAACTTGGCTACTGCTAACTGTGAAAAGAACTCAATTTAAATATTATAAAGCGTAGATTAATTCTAAAATCTATTTATTTTCACCCATATGGAGATTCTTAAAAAATATTAAAGTCTGCCTTTTTACTTCAGTATGGCAATAGAAGATATTAACAGATTTGCATTAGTTTCTATAAATGAAGAAGCAGACAGGAATATCACAATATTCAAAAATGTTATTAAACTTGATTTAAGGTACATAATTTTTTACGAAATATTTCATGAATACAAGAAACGGGAATTGAATTTATTTACATGGAGAACATTTTCATCGGAATATTAGTTGTAGAGTAGAATGACCATTTTTTCCGCGAGCCAATTCGGAATATTGACTCACACCTATCAACCAAAGAAATAATAATAATAAATTTTAAAAAACGAATAAATTAAAACTAAATATACAAATGCATGAAAACATTATTTAAAATATAAATAATTCATACGAAATGCAGAATTTTACTTTTTAAGTCCCTTTTTAATTATTTTAATTTTTTTTTTTAATTTTAAAGCAGATTTTTCATTTTGTTTTTCTTTGCAATATAGATAAATATTTAGATAGATATATATAGATACATGTACAGTACCCACCGTTTATAAGACTCACTCGTTTATAAACTCTGCCGCTTATTTTATGCAAATGTCATAGAACCAAAACAAAATACCTGTTTAATCAATTAAAAAACCGCCATTTTTTAAACTCATATCCTCTGCTAATTAAACTCAAAGGCAAAGGATATGGCCAATGAAAATTATTATGCACTCTGTATTGCGTAAGTACTGTATATATTATGAAACATGTATGCATTATGGCCAATGAAAATTTAAGCATGTATTATGAAACAGGATCAATATATTATGAACTATCTAAGCATATATTATGAAACAGCATGTATCTAAGCATGTATTATGTATTATGAACTACTTGTATGTAAAGTATATACTATGAACTATGTAACTCTGTAAACATCTATTATGAACAATGTAAGCATATGTATGCATGAACTATGTAAGCATGTCTTATGAACACGATCAATGTATGCCCTTATGGGGCCCATGAGGTGTTGCCCCGGATAGTTACGGAGTCTGGACTAGACCCGAATATTCCAAGTAAGCCGCACAGGTGTTCAGACTCTGCTCTCAACTCAACTCTATAAAAAACTATTTACCTTGGCTTTATCGTTCAGGTATGCAGTAGATCTGACCGAAATTTTCCTGCCCCCAGGTCCCTGATATGTAAGACACTGTTTTAAGAGTTCTCTTTTTCCACAATTGATTTCAGAGGAATAAAATTTCCATCTGAGTGAGGATTCTTTTTCGAATACCAGCTGGTAGGAAGAATAAGTACAGCTTCTACCTTCCATTCCTTTCACGTTTCTACATTCAAAATATCTACATTTTCTACATCTGTTTGTATGAGACACATTATGTCCACAGAGAGTCATAAAACATGTTTCTAAACATTACCGCACTTTAAAAGTCTATGAAAATGGAAAGGAACTGTTAAATGTAGACTGAAGAAAGACAAAGAAAGCATGGGTCAT